CCCCCCCCCCCGCCCCATACCCTCCGCCATCTCCCACCCTTACACAGTGCTACACATCTCTGTTTATTAATAACATTAAATATACAAGCTGTTTTCTATTATTTTTTTAAATAGACTTTAAATGACTTTGTATAAAATATTTCAACATTTCATTGTATAAAAAAAAAAAGAGGCAAAATAAATCTGACACAGCTTAAAGGCAAGTTTTCTCCCCCAGGAAGGGGGTTGGCATGGTGTCAGCATCTCCTCCACGGTGCAAATTCGTGCCGAGCTGGTGGCTTACACCAGCAGCAAGTTTGGCCCCAGCCTCCCTGCTGCAGTCAGGGCTTTCCTTCTGATTTACACCAGTCCTTTGTACTAGAAACCCCTCCTTCTGGCAGTCATAAATACACATATATAAAAAAAAAAAAATTAATAGTAATGCTTTCTTTAAAAACAGTTTGGTTTGTCCACATTTTCTTCCATCGTATAAAAATAATACTTCAAAACCCAAGAGCAGCGCAGGCCACGCTTCACATTTGGGGCTGGAGGGATGCTGTGGTGGGGCAGGATGTGGCCCCAGCCTGGGGTTCAGGGTATCTCCAGGGCTGGTGCATCCTAAACCAGGCTCTTCCCTAAGCCAGGGAGGGGAGCCGAGCTGAAAAGCCCCCGGGTACCAGGCTGGGACATCTCCACCTCTTATGCCCCCGTCGATCCAGTCCTTCCCCAGCCCCATTTCCCTTCTCTAAAGCGCAGTCACAAAAGAAATCCAGTTGCAGGCGAGGCCAGCTCGCAGCAATAACCCTGTGAGGGGGCAGGACAGGCGCCCCGTAAAATACTTCTGTGGGATAAAGACTTTCATCCGCTATATTAAAAATAAAACCCTAACGGCATGACGGCGAGCCGAGGCCAGCTCGACCGTGGGACCAGAGCCAGATCTCCGGTGGCAGGAGGATGGGGAGCCGGACGGTGCCAAGCGTCACCCCCAAGCCCGGCCCCACGTGGGGACACGAGCACGGGCGGGCTTTAAATATTCACAGTGTGAGGGTTTAAGTTGCAAGTCGGGGCTGGGGTCGTGTAGCCCAGGGGAGTCCTGGTGACCGACCTCCCCCTCCCCAACCCAGCATTCACGATGCTCCAGCTGAAGCCTGGGGAAAGGCAGGGTGAAAGGGGGGGGGGGCAATGGGTGCTGGTCCAAACCCCGCCGTGCTGGGTGTGAGAAGAGCCAGGAAGATTCGGGGAGCTGGTCCCCTCCACCTTCAGCCAGCACTGGCCATGTCCGAGCAGGATCCACCACCCCGCATCCAGCGTCTCCGTCGTCCTGCTCAGCCCCGCGATGTCACATCAGCCACCGCCGCCGTCCCAGTAAAGCCCCTCGGTGACAGTCCAATGCCTTCCAGCCTTCCGCTTCCCAGGGAATCCCGCTCCGGGGGCATCCCCCCATCCTTTTGTCCTTGCCAGGGAGGGGATTTTTTTGCAGTCTCTGGCCGCCGGTGTGGGGCGAGGGAAGAGGGAGCGTCAGCATCACAGCGGGACCGTGGAGGGGCCAGTGTGTGCCCACCCTCCTTCGCACGGTGGGGAGCATCCGGATCCGTCCCCCGAGCAGCTTCACATCCCGCCTTGGGCCCTGGGGAAAGGAGGAGAAAGATGAGTGGGAGCCGAGGCTCTGCCAGGGAAGGCGGGGAAAAACACATAAAAACCACAGGAAAAAAATACTATATATATTAAGAAAGTACTGGTAATGGATTAATGGGCTGCAAAACCGCACGCTGGCAGCACTGTGGCGCAGACCTGCTCCTCTCCGTGTCCTCCCACCCCATCCACCCCCCGCCAGCAGCCAAATTTCCCTTCCCGTGGCTGAGGTCAGTGACCGTGGGGACGGTCTGGGGACTCTACACCATCCCCAGGGTCCTGGAGCGGAGCCCCGCGAGGTCCCATCCAGCCCCTGCTCACCTCAGAGGTCCCGAGTCTCCAGCTCTGGACATCCCCTCGCTTCCTGCAGCACCCTGCAAGGCAAAGTTGGGGGAGTTTAGGGCAGGGGGGCCCAGGGCAAGGGTCCCCAAAGCTCCCCCCAGGCAGGACGGTATCACACCCACCTGCTCTCTGTCTCCTCGGGGTCGCAGTTCCCATCTTCCAGCGGCCGCTCCAGGACCTGTGTGGAGGGAGGGGGAACAGGGAGATGAGCCCTGGGGAAGGGGAGGGGACTGCAGCAGGGGGGGCTCTCACCCCCAGCGCAATGAAGGGGGGAAATCTTCCAAACAACATCCTCCCACCCTGTTCAGCATCACCACTTGTCCCCTCCATCTCAAAATGATGGAGAAGGCGGGGCTCAACCCACCCAGACCAAGAGACAAAGTGGGGAAACTGAGGCAGGAGAGAATGCTTGTGCCTGGGGAGGAGGGGGGGGGCGGGG